AGCTTTATATGATGAAAACCAGAATTGTATTTTAGCAAAAAAGAAGTTAATAGTTTAATTATTATTATTAACTTGGATCTAACCAATATTCATTATGCATAGATCAGTACCAATATCGATTACTGAGCCATCAGTATAAAAGGATAGTTGTTAATAAGAGTAGTTAAGTTGAAAGATAGATATAAGTTTGTTGATAGTTTCATTTAGAATAAAGATTTCAGAAGCAATTGAATTAAAAATAGGAATTATAAATAAAGGAGAGATATGAGTTGGATGCTTGACAGCTATAGAGCAGATAAGGTCCAAGTAATTTGCATTAAGATTGAGTTGGTATTTGGAATTAGCTCTGTCAAGAAATTGTGTTGAAATAGCTGCAGAAACTTTAACAATACAAGTTTGGTTAATTCTGTAAGAATTAAGATAGCATCTTGCATATTATTTGTATTTAGCAGAGGGTAGAAAATAGAATTTTGAGTAATTAAATCTATATTGAAAGTTTAGTAAATGATGAAGTAATGGTTAGATGAAAGAAAGTATTTTCATATTTTTTCAATAATAATTTCTTCATTGTAATATAAAAATAATCAAAATTTAGATTTTGTAAGTTTTTTAGATGTATTAATAGTATAATAAGCATAAGGATTAGAGTGTGATGACCTAGTAAAGTGGATAGGTTGTTAATCCTCAAGTGGCAGATCTAAGGTTCAATTCTCACAGATGATAAATTTTGGAAATTATACCTATATTACAGTAACTGTCTTTTGCTGATTAGTTGGGTTTTGGGCATCTGTAATCTTAGGTACACCAAGTCAGGTCTCATCTAACATTGGGAGCTCAGAGCATCTATGCAAAATGTAACGTTACATGGTACATGTATATAGAGGAATATAAAAAAACTGGTATCATATAAGGCTTCAATGCAAACCTACAATAAGACTACCAGGCATAGAAGGTTAAGAAACCGAAGAGACAGAAACTCACTTGAAAATCCCAAATAAAGAGGTAGCACAAACTTTTGATGATGCCATTGAACTGATGAAAGCCCATAAAACATCTTTATAGAAACTGCTGGATAAACCAAATAACAAAGATGTATAAATGAGCACATGACTAACCAGACTGCTAGAATCACTAAAGGAAAAGAATATATAAGTATACCATACCAGGCCATCTGGATTGGAAGTCTGAGGAGTTGGTTAGTTCTGAGTTGCAGCTAGTAGGGGATGATAAAGAAGAAGTTGAAAAGATGGGTATCAGAGTCTGAGTGAACTTTACAAGGGTAATAGTGGTTTAAAAGGTAACTCTGATTGCAAGTGTTAGTCTTGGCCATAGCATCAAACCAGGTTAGCAGTAAAAAGAAATATGGCTCACTCTGGTAGGTTTACCTTGAGAATAAAAATAGTCTAAGGATTATAGTTCTATAGTCGAATACGAATAGATCTGGGTCTGTAACCTGATGAAATTAATATCAGGGTTAGATCAGAAGGTTTAAATGGAACATCTAAGCAGGAGTGTTAGGTATAACAACTGGTGGGGAACCCTTAGGCAGACTTCTTAAATAGGTAATATAGAAAAGTTATATGTGTAGCCAGTTGTACACTCGTCTAATAGTTCATTATAGATACATCTATATAAAACATGTATCTGCTATAAGTATTAATAAAAAGTTCAGACCAAAAAGGTCACCTTAATACTGAAAAAAAATAAAATAAAATAAATATAAGGGTTATGACCAGATGATTGCTAGTATGGTAATATATTTCAGTAATAAGAGTGTGCTAGAATTATGTCTTCTAAGTAGAAAAACCAATAAGGTTTTCTTTCTTTAGGCAAGTATAAAAGTCTAAATGAGAGATATTTTCAATTTAATAAAGTATGTTGTTAGCTATGCAGAGTTGTTCAAAATACATAATATTAGATTGTCTAAGTTGCTTTTTAAAGATTGGATATTTAGAATGCTAAGATAAAGTTGATTCTAGTAACTGGCCTTCATTACTAATTTTATGAGACTATATAATATTAAGATTGGCTAAGATTACTAAGCCAAGATGAATAAAAAATTGAATAATTTTAAAGTTTAATAAGTGTTTGTTAGGACCATTAATAATTGGTTTAGAATCATGTAAAATATTAATAGAGGACCATAAGTTATTTTGTAGTTGTTAAAATTTAATTCAAGTTGTAATGCCAAGAAAGTCAAAATTGTTGATTTATTGAAGATACTTAGAGATGTGATGCTGGAGTTGAATATCCTATATATTATAAATATTATATAAATATAGGTTAAGCATTGTGCTATTTGGTATAGATCTGGAAAGATGTGACTTGTGTTTTGCTATAGTAAGGTATTTGGATAAGATTTGGTTATATATAGTATGAGGAAGAATAGTGTTATATAATTGATATTTCAAAGTTAAAATAATTACTGTATTGATAATATAAGCAATTTGTTTATCAGTAATTTTCTTTGTGCTAGCAATATTGATAAGATTATAAGCCTCTTCTTTTATTAGTTTGATAGCTTGAAATTGTTTGTTATTAAGTGTAAACCAATATTTAAGAAACTTGAAGGTTTGATTTTTAGAAATAAAATAAATTAAAGATTCAAAAAACCAAATAAAAGTGGTAAAAGAATTTGTAGCTAAAATAAACTTTGTTAGATTAATCTGGATATTAGTTATTTGATAAAAGGATGTAGCAGTTTTAGTTATTAAATTAAGCTCTTCTTTGAACTTTGCAATTCAGAAAGTGTTATTTATATAAGCTAAAACTAATACAAATGTTTTTAAAGTTTGGGTTTAAGATAAGTATAAGTTGGTTTTTCCAAGATGCAGATAAAGAATAACCTGAAAATTGTGAGACAATTTTATGAATTAAAGAATCATAATAGATTCTTCAGAATAATGAAGTTATAGTTTCTTCTTGATTTATACTATTTTTAACTAAATAAAAGTTGTTAAGACTAAGATTAGATATAATCCAATTTTGGTGATCAGTAAAAAGGTTGATGAGTATATTAATAAGGATTTAAAGCATTGATATCTGTTTAAGAGACTTTGTAAAAAGTTCTAAATTGATCTTTAATAATATTGTTAAGCATGTGTATAGGAATAGATATGCTGTTGCCAGATAAAGTAATATAGTTATAAGAAGATAAAATAGAATGTTGTATGAGTATTAAATTAAGATAATTAGTGAGAAGTTTTGTATATAATTTCTTAATATGTTCAACAAGACTGATAGGTCTTGTATTAGAAAGGTTTTTATCAAAGATAGATTTTTTAAATATTGGAAAGATGCAACCTTCTTTTCATTGCTTAAGTATATAAGAAGTTTGAATGTATCGATTAAAAAGAGCAACTATTACTTAAAGAAAAGTAGAACCAGCCTGTTTAAGCATTTCATAGCTAATTTCAATGATCTATATGCTTTGTTATTAGGAAGTTAGTTAAGAGTTCTAGTAATTTTATCAAGTGAAAATTCAGCCAAAGTTGAATTGTAATAGTCTGAACTAGTGATAGCTTTTAGTTCATATTCTTCTGACTAGTTGGTATTGAATTTATGATCATTAATAAGTCTATAGTCAGTTCAGTTGTCAAAGTGATGTTGAATATGTTCTTTAATTAGTTTGGGTTCTGTAATAATATGATTTGATGTTTTTATATTATTAAATTTTACTAATTCTTTGTGATAGTTGAGTATGCTGTTAATTATAAGTTTGGAATTAGTTTAGAGTTTAGAACATCTAAGATTAATATACTGATTTATTTGTTCTCAGATTTGTTTAATGTTTTTTATATTTTGAGCATAGTAAAGAGCTTGCTATTTAGTATTAGTATTAGTAATCTAGCTTGATATAAGCTCATAAGAGTTAGGTATAAGAGGTATATTAAGGTGATGTATTAAGTTAAAATAGTGCATAGTAGGGTTGAGATATATAGGTATAGGTAATGAGTTAGTTAAAGAAGCTTTAACTTGTCTAATAATGTTATTGAGTTTTTTAAGATTTAGATAAAGTAAAATAGTTTTAGCTAAAAATAAGTACCATAAAGTCCCGAATATAAGCAACCCCCTAAGCCACCCATTTTAGCTAAATTTTTTCAGAGGGTTGCTTAAATTCAGGACTTTAAAATATTCAATTTTTATTGGTCTATTATCTTATATATTAATAACCAACTTGCATTACAGTACAGTTGATCATGATTTTTCTTTTAAAAATCCATAAGCATAGGTTATGCTAGTGGAATAAAAAACAAATAATGTTGGTCTTTGTTATTAATGTGAAATTAGAGTTTTAAAGAATGAACGCAATTCAAATTTACCAGTTTTACAAGTTTTGCATAATAAATTATATATTGGGAATGAATTTTTAAAAAATTTAAAATTCGTCAATCCATTATAAAAAAAAAAGACTATAATATATCCTGTAAGTTGTGAAATAAAACACAAATTTATTTTACAATTGAATGTCTGAATTCTATTATTTGGTTTTATTGTATAGACTTATCTTGGATGCAAACGATGTACATACGTACATTATGGTATCCTTTTTTTTTTTTTAAAAAAAAAAAAAAAATGCATTAGTGTTGTATCATATTTTATACATATTGTATTTTTCTAAATCAAGATTTTTTTTTTTGTACATACAGTGTGCAGTATAAGTAACTGATACCTCATATCTCGCCAAATATCACATGACATGATCTATAAATTTCAGCATTTGCAGAACATTACTAATACTGATAATCTTTACCTTTTTGAGGTTAATTGACATTCTATAATTACTTTCTATTGATAAGCAATATGAGATCATGTTTTTATACACTCACCCACTAGGTCCTAGGCTTGGATATGAAGCCATTGCAAAGTATGTCCGCTGCAGTAAAAGCACTGTAATTAATATGCTCAAAAAGTGAAATGAAACAAAGAACCTCAATAACAAACCAAAATCAGGCCGTAAGTGCATTACAAGCAAAAGACATGATAAAAAAATAAGGAATATGGCTGAAAAAAATTTTGATATAACAGCTGCTGAAATAAAGTTGAAAATGGAAAAATGTAATGTCAAAGTGAGCAAGGATACAATCCGGCATCATTTGCATAAAGGAGGTGCCTGGTATATAAATCCACTTTCCAAGCCTTTCTTTACTGAAAGGCACAGAGAAAATCGTCTGATATGGGCGAACCAGTATAAGAACTATGACTTTAGTCATGTGATTTTTTCTGATGAGTGTACTTTCTGTTTGAATTAGCGAAAAAGAAAGGTGTGGACCTTCCCGAGTAAAAAAAAAATTTTTAATATTGTTAAGCATCCATTGAAGGTCCACGTTTGGGGCTGTTTTTCTTCTTTAGGTTTTGGCAAGCTAATCCTTTTTCAAAAAAATTTAAATGCTAAATTTATGATTACTATTTATGAAAAAGGTCTTCTGCTATCTGCTAGTAAGCTTTTTGGTCAAGGTCACATAAAGTGGGTTTTGCAAGAGGATAACAATCCTAAGCACTGATCCAAGTTAGTAAAAAAATAGAAAAAGAAAAATGGTATAAAGGTACTTCTCTGGTCATTGTTTCACCTGATCAAAACCCTATTGAGAATGTGTGGGCGATCATGAAAATTAATCTTGCAAAAAAAAAAATTAGTAATCTTAGTACTTTAAAAGCAGAAATAAACAATGAATAGAATCAATTACCAAGTAGTCTTGCAGTAAAATTAGCTGCTAGTGTAAAAAAGCGCATAGAGGCATTAATTGAGTCCAATGAGGACTTTACAATATATTAGTAACCAGTACTAAATTTGTTTTTTTTAATAAAAAAAAATTAAAATTTTGTGCTACCTGTATAACGATCCAGAAGGGGTCAGTTACTTATGCTGCACACTGTATCTTTTTCGTGTTGAATACCGGTAGTTTAGTTTTTTCACATACTAAAAAAAAAAAAGAAAACCAAAAAAAACCCCATAAGACTAAAACAAAAACAAAAAAAAAAATGAATACTGTTATCAGCAATAACAAGGCAGTTAAAGTTAGAAGTCGTGTTCAAAGAACTTCTTATAAGGTATTAGAAAAACTTACCGTTATTCAAGAAGCAAAACGGATTGGTGTTTTGGCTGCTTCATGTCACTTTGGTATTAATCAGTCTATAGTATCATGATGGAAGAATAATGAAAAAAAATTTAATAATGTTGTATCTGGTAACCGACATGTTGGTGCGAGAAGAATTTCATTTTACCTAGCTGCTAAAGAAGAGCTTATTAAATGGTTAAATGAACTTCGACAAATGGGAATTGCAGTAACATCAGGTTCTATTAAAATGCAAATGTATACAATTTTATTAACAACCTGTGCAGATAAATATCTGAGTGCTTTACAACAATTTCATGCATCCAAATCTTGGTTTTACCAGTTTTTAAAATGACACCAACTTTCTCTTCACCATTGTACTAAAATTAGCCAAAAGTTACTTAAAGATCTTACTGAAAAAATAATTGAATTTCATAAATTTGTAATTCAAGCTTAATTAAAATATCAGTATGATTTTTCTCAAATCGTAAACATGGATGAAACACCTGTTTATTTTGACATGACAAGTTCTTATACAATTAATAATAAAGGTGCTAAAACGGTTCAAATTAGAACAACTAGAAATAAAAAAAACCGGTTTACTTGTGTTTTGACAATTACGGCAAATGGTAACAAACTCCCTCCCATGGTAATTTTTAAAGATGTATGAATTCCCTCTAATCTGCCTTGTGGCATTGTTGTATGTATGCATAAAAGTGCCTGGATGGACGAAAATTTGATGAGCGAATGGATTGACCAAGTTTGGAACAAGCAACCTGGAGCATCTATTGTAAACAAACCTTTGTCTTTGCTTGTGATGGATTCATTCGAAGGACATCTTACTGATATTGTAAAAAATAAATGTGCAGTTAATAATATTCATAAAGCTATTATTCCAGGAGGTTTAACATCAATTGTACAATCTTTGGATGTGAGTATTAATAAATCATTTAAAGACCGATTAAAGGAAAAATGGCATTTGTGGATAAGTAATGGCGAATTTCAGTTAACTAAGAAAGGAAATTTAAAATGACCATCATATAGTTTAATTTGCCAATGGATTTTAGAAGTGTGGGATGATATTTCTGCAGAAATGATTATTAAATCATTTAAAAAATGTGGTATTTCTAATGAATTAGATGGGACAGAAGATGATTTATTATATAATTCAGATCAAGAGAATAGTGAAATCGATGATAATAAAGATTTGTTTGAAGTAGTTAAAGAAGATAGTTTATCTGCTGAAGAACTAGAAGATTAAATTGATTTTTTTGTAAAAAATTTGAATTGAAATTAATAAAATTTATAATAAATTTTATATACGATATACATATTTAGTAATTTTTAAAAAAGGGGTTGCTTATTTTATTTTTCTAGCATTTTGATCTCGAAATGCAGGGTATTGCTTATTTTCGGGGGTTGCTTATATTCAGGACTTTACAGTATTGAAAGTTGCGAATTATTATTTTTTTATTAGAAATGCATTTAGTAATAGCATTAATAATATTAGTTTGGATTTTATGCCAGGTAATTTCAAGAGATTCAAAGGTTTAAGTAGAAAGAAATGTTTTGTTTATAGTAAGATTAAGAAAAACTTAGTTAGCAAAGATTTTCTATTGCTTTTTGTTTATTGTTTTGTAGTTAAAAGTTCTGCATTTGGTTTTAGTTGAATGTTTGTTTTTGTCTGTAAGAGTATGAGAAAATGTTTAAGAAAATATAAGAATTTTGTAATCACTTTAGGTACAGTTTTTTGCATCATCTAAGTAAAAAGAATTGAGGTATTTAAGTAAAGAAAGATAGGCCCAAATATCGTCAATTGTACTGTAATGTCTACTGTTATGCCAAGTATGAGAGGATGTATTTGAATGATCTGCTAGATCATAAATATTATTATATTGTAGAAATTGCAGTAGTTTGTATTTGATAGATGAGAAAGTAGAGTTATTAGATGATAAGTATAATTAAAATAATAAAAACTTATTACTAAATATAAAAAGTAAAACAATTTAAAGTCTTTATAAAATATAACTTAATTATATATTAACTAAATATTAATATCTCTTATAATCATAATGACAATATAAATTAATTATATCAGAATTATATCTTAAGAAATATAAAATTTATCTTGAATTTGTTTTATAATTTTTTTTAAAGCTTAAATCTTTAAAAAAAGTTTTAAAATCCTATATTTAAAAATAAAAACTTTTTTAAAATTAACTAAATAATTTTGAACTAAACATTGAAGTTTAATATTTAATTAAATTTGATAAAAAATTTTATTGTTTATTTGCAGAATTTTTTATTAGTTATAATTTTTAATTAAAAGTTTTATAGTTTGATAATATTTACTTTTAGATTATTTTTTTTTTTTTTTTTTTTTTTTTTTTTTCTTTCGCATCCCTGCCGATCGCCTTTGTCTAGATTTTTGGATACGTGGTAACCCTCGTTGGCTTTATTTTTGGTTC